TATTAATTATACTCCCTTCATTGTACCAAGAACAACACCAACCATCATCCCACTAAGTGAAATCTTTTTCTCTATTGTGACCTATTGTGTGTCATATTTTCATTTAATTCTAATAAATTAAGATCGTTTTTTATATAACATAACCAAGTCTTTTTTGGTCTACCTCTACCTTTCTTAGCATGGGTCGAATCTAATATCTACTCTCCTAACCGGATCATTAGATGGTCGACGTTTAATGTGACTAAACCATCTAAGACAACTCCATATAATCTTCTACGCCACTGGAGCTACTCCCAGCCATTCACGGGTACATTAGTTTTTCATTTTGTCTCTAAGAAATCAAGCCACTCATCCACCTAAGCATTCTCATCTCAACAACACGTAACTTAGTTTCATGCTTCTCTTTATAGGCTAACATTCTGCGTCATAAAGTATTGCAGGTCTCACCATCTTATGAAACTTTCATTTAAATCTAAGTGCTACTTTTCTATCATATAATAAGCCCGATGCATTCCTCCACTTCAATCATCCAACTTGAACTCTACTAATAACATCTCCATCTATATCCCCATCACTTTGAACAATAGAACCAAGATATTTAAAATTATCACTCATTTTAATGATATGATCACCCATTGTTACAACTCTGCTACTAGATCTATTATTACTAATATTACATTCCAAGTATTCTGTTTTAGATCTACTCAAACAAAGGCCTTTATACTCTAATGTAGAATTCAATTTTATTCTGAACTTTTTCTCTAGTCCTATCCACAAGAAGGATATCAGCAGAGAAAACATACAACAACGTACATCCTCCTGTAAATGTCTAGAAAGTGCATCCATAACTAAAGTAAGAAGATATGAGTTTAAAGTCAATCTCTGATGTAATCCAGCTAAAACAGGAAAATACTTGGTCAATCCTCCTTCTGTTTGAACATAAGTAACAACTCAAGTATATATATCTTTAATGACTTAAATATAAGTCACATCAGTGTCTTTTCTTATCTAAAACTTTCCAAAGAACTTCTCTTGAATATTTATCTCCAGCTTTTTTTTCTACATAAATAAAAATCTTATGTAGATCCTCCTTGCTCTCTGTGTACTTCTCCATCAAACCTCTCAATAAATGTATAGCTTCCATGGTAGACTTGTCTGATATAAATGCAAACTGATTATGAGAAATATTTGTATCACATCTTATCTTGTATTCAATTATTCCTTCCCATAATTTTATAGTACGACACATTAACCTAATTCCTGTATAATTTGCACACTCATTTACGAAGAACATAAGCATAATTTTTTAATAGAGAATCCCAAGCATCGCATTCAAGAATGTTATTAACCCATGAGGGTTCTTCATTGAAATACTTGATCCTACAAAACTTAATAAACCCTCTTTAGTTAATTAAATTTATCGGGGGAAATTTATAGGATAAAACTAGTTTGTTGTTCCATCTCGGGATACCTACCTCCCTCCCTCTATCTCGACGGCATAGAATTTCAAGCAAGAGCTCACCTATAAGCAGAAACGAGCTGGCAACAAATCGAGATTGATAAACCCTACCTTGTACTAGGTAACACCGCAATGGAGAAAAAATCCACAAACCTTATCCCAGAGGGAAAATCTTTACCTTAATCGGTCAAAATTATAGACTACAAAAACAGGACAAGGGCGAGAGATACAGAATCAAAGTAGAAATCGCAGCGAACATACAAGGCCGAGCTATCCTTTATCCATTAATGGAAGCTGGAGGTCAAATTCCGACGGGAGTCCACAATTCCTCACCAGTTCGTTAACAGCGGCGTCATTTGAGTTTACGGTTCGGGTTCCAATTCGAGTCCAGTTAGGGTTGGAAACATAAATATACGAAGGCACATTTACAAACCACATTATTCTTTTATGTTTACATATCTAAAATCATACTTTAATATTTATAATATTATCATATTAAAATATCATATTTGCTCAGACCCTTTCGCATCACTTTTGATTTTACCATTATTATATATATATATTACTTTAAACAATATATATTTGATTTATTGCATAATATTTTTGTTAAAAATATTAAAAACATCTAAAAGGTATATTGAATATTTTAAAAATAAAATAATTGATTTTCAAATTTAAAAAAAAACATGCAAAAATATGTATTAAACAAATATGTTTTAAAAATAAATGCAAAGATAAAGATAAAAAATAAAAGATCTCGTCTAAACTCAAAAACTAAAATACGACTAGACATTAGATAAACTGCTACGAAATTTTTATAACCCTCTTCTAATTATCTTCATCAATAAATCATAATCAATTAATATTTGAACAATGATCTAACACATTGAGCAATGATCTTATCATGATTTAAAAAACACTTAAACACTATTGATTCTAATAAAATAATCGTCTGCTCACATTTGAGTCATATTTGAACAATACTTTAACTTTAAATCATCATCAATTTTATGTGATCATGTTTGATGATGTTTTAATCATGATTCAATTGATGTTTGACAATTATTTGTAGGTGGTTCTATGAATATTCGATTTTAATTGATGATGATTTAAGAGATGACTCAATCATGATTTAATTACAATTTGATCATTGCTTAATCATTACATAAAGGTTATTCAAATATTAATTGATCATGAACAATGGTGATTAGAAGATGTTTTGATTAAGGGTATGTTTGGGGTCGCTGCAGCTTAATAATAAGTTGTTGTGTAATAGCTGCCACAGGAAGCCGCCGCGTAAAAGCTACTGCAGATAAGTTGGATTTTTGTTTATTTTTTGCAGTTTGAAAACAGTTATACAATAGATGTTTATGGACAAATAATAATTCTGCTCTTATAGAGTAATGATGTTTGTAAAAAAGCTATTCATACTGGTACATTTCATATTTTAGGGCAAATATTCAATCCAGAACATTACAAATCAAAGAGATACATCTCACTAAACAGTGTGTAGCATGACTACCAAAATTACGAAAATAACTATTGAAATAACAATTAATAATATGATAACATCATTTCTAAAATGCAGATAACGTATGTTACGAGATATCCTCCAGGGATACTCTCTACGTCTAATCCCTTTTGACAGTGGAATCTTCTAGCCCATCTGCCTACCAAAAAATTTACAGTCATCTGTGATTCTCTGTGGGTACTTGTAAAACTGTCTCTTGTTGTTATGTGATTGACACGAAGTGAGCAAGGAACACTGAAGTCTGCAATAGCAGTGCAATTCTCTGAAGGTACCAGTAATCCTCAAGCTCATCTTTCATGAAGGCTTAAAAACACAAACTCTTAGACATAAGACTAGTAAAAATTAATAACATAAGAAATTAATTAAAGTTTTATGTAGCTGTGATATCTCAGAGAACTCAGAAAACAACTAACCTTATAAAAAAAAGGTTCTCAGTTGTCTTTAAACCACTAATACCAAGTTCGTCTGTGTCACATATGTCTATAACCAAAAAAAGGTCATCCAGAAGAACCTAAAAAACCATAACACAAAAAAGAGAAACTTAGTTGGATTTATTAAGATTTCACATGTGACACTAACTAATAACGACATAAAGGCATTCAAAAGAACCCATTAGGTCAAACGTCTCGTCATAGACCTCCAAAACACACAAAAAGAAATAAAATATTGAAGAAAAAAACATTTGCAACTTGCATAATAAAATGACCACAATAAATATCAAACACATAAGGAATATAATTATACACAAATTGTATAAAATACCAAAACAATAAACATTAAATGTCTTCAATAACCATTACAATTAACAAAAAAAATAACATTCCCTCAAATCATCCTCCAATTACCACATTTGTAATTCATTTCCTCAACTCTGTTATCTTGCATGCACCTTCCCCGCCTTGAGTGTAGGTCTCGAGAACACCATTTTTCAGCTTGTGACAAATATTGTGCTAGTCGATACTCATGTGCCTCAACAGGGACATGTGCATGATCCTCATCTGCTCTATGGAAGTCGATGTCATTGTGGGAATGATGCCGCTAAATATAATTGTGAAAATTTATCATGACAATCACAATATGCACATTTTTGGGAAATGTGTAAGTTGGCATATTGCAAAGTGTAACCCATTTCTTCTTCCAAACATAAAGTCCTCTCAATGACGCTGTGTAAGGGGGATTCCCTTTTGTTAAACATTTCTTTCCTGACCGATGATACACTTTAAAATTACATGTTTTTAATATATGTTTAATGTTCATTTTATGCACATTACTTATGATATTGCACTTTAAAGAAAGGAATTTTGCATGTTTTTAGTTTTAGGTATAAGGAATGGATATTTATAGAAAATGAGGGCAAAATGGAGCAAAATGACAACACTTTATATGGCGTCATAGTGCCAACTTACGACCATGATGAGCGTTATAGCGCCAGTAACCGACTTTCTAGAACATGCATTGAATTTAACCAAATTTTAAAGGGTTGATTGAAGTGGCCCTTAGTTAATTTCAGTTATATATTAAAAGGGTCAATTGTTGAATGAAAAAGAGTCTTTATAGAGAGTGTTTAGGAGTTCTTAGAAGGCTTTTAGGCTTGAGTTTCAAGTGTCTTAGTGGGTGTGTGAGTTTATATTTGTGAGTCTTTGTTTGTATAAGAAGAGTTTGGAGATTGCTTGAAGGAGACTTCAGGAATTGCTTGGGGAGAAGACATAAGATAAGTAATTTGTATTTGTGTTTGAGTTTTTGTTGTTAAGACTTGGCTTTCAATACAAATCATTTGTTTTTGTTTTATCTTCATGAATTCTAAGTAGTTTTCATTTCTTTCTCCTTACATATGGGAATTAATCAAGTGGGATGAGATTGATTCAAAGATTCATTTTTATTTTTTAAAATTGTGATGGTATTTTCACCGATTCTTCAATGACTTTACAAACTGGTCATTTGTGATGTCAAAAACTGTTGTGAAACATAATGACTCGGGAGGGCTATGATTTCACCAATTAGTGAGTACCACACTTAACTTTGGAAAGAGACGTTGCGATCGTTCGAAGGGAAGTGCAAATAGATAATGACATAAGTTTTGATGGACACAGAATTGATGTTTCTAGAGTAACAGACTAGATTCTTTTATCAATTTGATCTTGAGTTTGGATCTAAGGGTCCCTAGTAGGTCCTATAGGGAGGGTATAGTGGGTAATCTAGAAGTGAGAGGTCAGAATCTACTCAACACTACTACAAAAGCTGGAACAAACTTAAGGTTAGCTAATGTTCTTTGCTAGCACCGAAAGGGGGCAAAGAATATGAATGCTCATGTTTTTCATAATACATCATTTTATATTTTTAATCACTTAATTCTTACATTGATTAAGATCTCTTTGCAAGGAAAAAAATCTTTTCATTATATTCAAACTCTTTTAATCTTATTAGTTTTTTAAACTATATTCTTACTTTCTGTTTAAATTTAGATTGCATGTAAATTTAGTTGTAATCCTTTACAAAACTTTCGACACCATTCTTCTATCATTTTTATCTACAGTTTAAATACAAGTTTTTAAAGTTTTTATTACAAAGTTATAGCTTTCCTTGTGAGATTGATACTTGAGTTTTTAAAGAAAATCCTATATTACTTGAAACGATACGTATACTTGCGTCGTATCCTTAGTGTGAATGCTTATTATATATTTTCTAAATCTTACATATTCACACTAGTCGCTAAATATAATTTAAGCTAAGTTTTTGGCAATCTTTTGTAGTATAAATATTTGAGTAATTGCGGGTCGGGTCAAATTTATTGCGTCGTTGTCAAGGATTGAGACAGAACTTTTTGACTTAGATATTTATTTAAACTGTAGATTTATTTTAGGAGAATTAAAAATGAATTTTGACACTTTTTCATTTTCAAAAATCATGAAAATAAAAAATATTTTTTTTTATATTTGTCATATTAGTTAAGTCTTTAGATTTGCATGCGTAGTTCAGAAGCTGCAAGCATTGGATTATACGACTCGGATCTAGAGAGAACTTTTAGGAAGATTATGAATCATAAAAGACTCCATGAATTTTATGTAATAATGTTGGATCATCAAAATAATGAATATTCAGTTTGGATTATAATGTTAGTCGTTTCGATAAAGTAAACCCTAAGAGGTTAGCAAATTTTTAAGAAGATATACGTACTATTTTAACTTCTCAAGTTGCAGATATTTTGAGAAATTTAGATTAATATACATGAAGTTATCTTCAAGGACCCTTAGTTATTAAGGAAAATTCATTTGGACAATTGATTGAAACTAAGTCTTTTGAAACTAGTCATGAGATATACAATCCTTATGCTGATTATTACAACCCAGGTTGGGAGATTCATTTGTACTTTAACTAGAATAACAATTTTGGAGGAGAAAACCAATTATAGGAAGATAATCAATTTAATCAGACATGTAATTGGAATAATTAAGGATATTATAACAATGAACTTTTTTTTCCTCATCAATTTAACTTCAACCCCAAAAATGAGGAGTTATTAATAGAAAATATTGTTATTCAAATGGAGAGTCACTTGGAAAGTCAAGAGACCGCAATTAGGAATATAGAAAACCAATTGGGGCAAATTATTAATTCAATTAATAGTTATCCTCCAAAGATTTTACTTAGTGACCCTGAGATAATCCTTGAGGAGAAAAATAATGAGCAAGATAAAGTTATCTGACTTAGAAGCGAAAAAGAATTAG